AGAGGGAAGAAAGGGTAAGCGAACGTTTTTTTTTTTTTTTGTTTTTTTTTTTTTTTTTTTTTTAAAAAAAAAAAAAATATAAATAAATATTTTTTTTTTCATTGATTTTCATTTACTTAGCTTAAGGCTCAAGGTCAAAAGGTTATAAATATTCAATTTCCTACATTGAATGATGATCAAAAATTTTACCTTAAAAAGAAATATTTAAAGTTCCTCATTGATTGCGGACATCAACTTGAATTATCGAAATGTGAATATTTCAAAGAGTTTGTTACAACTTTGAATCCATTATTTGAGGTTCCAACTGATGAATCTTTAAGTTACCTAGCTGTTAATTTATATGATATCGCTATAGATGCATTAAAAAAGATATTCCAAAAAACAGATAAAATCTGTTTAACTTGCAATTTCTGGAAAAGTAAGGGGCACGGTATTATTGTGATCACGGCAAATTGGATTTCAGATGATTATAAACATCAAGAAGCCTTTTTAACTTTGGAAGAGATCGATTTTCCATTCACCCCTATATCAATCAAAAAAAAAAATAAGAGAGATCATACATGAATGGAATATCTCTAATAAAGTATCATTCATAACAACCGAGAATTCTGCTCGTATGATTGAAGCAATTAAGTTGTTGGGAGGAGAACTTAATGTTGAACGAATTTCATGCGTTTCTCACACGCTTCAACTTGTAATAGGAAAAGCCTTGAATGTCAATCAAAATATACAAATCTTTATCTTGAGAGTGAAAAGATTGGTACACTTTTTTAGTACACCCAAACAATTGGAGAGTCTTATAGAGGCACAAGAAGCGTTACATTATACAATGGTCTACGAAATGGTTAGTGAAATTCCAACTAGATGGAATTCCTCTTATCATTCCTGGGAGAAATTATTAATTCTGAGAAGAGACTTAACCTATTTGTGTAATGAAACTAATTCAGGTCGTGACGTAGAAGAAAGAGATGCGTTGAAAAGAATAATGTTATCTGTTGATGTAACAGGGATGGCTAAATATTCCTTAGCCATCTTGCTCAAAAACGTAAATTTCTTTTCATTATTTTCCCACCAACTTAATGGCAAGATATCCCTATTAGCCTTATTTTTCAAATAAATATTAATTTCATTCTCTTCTTCCTCATCGGAACTTTCCTCATCTTCCATTATCATATTCATTATGGATTTATTATTTAATAAATCCGCATCATTTTGTGATTCCGATTTATTTTCATTGTTATCATTTACATTATAAATTTCATATCTATCAATGAGCAAAGCGATTGCCCTTTGTCTTTCAGCCTCGGTAAATTTTTTTAACTTTTTTGTTCGAGGGTCCAATATGGTGGCAAAGAGCCCAACGTCTGGGGACACAGACCAATACTTATTTAGTGCAATATCTAAGGTTTCTAAAACCGAAATAACCAAACCATCCACTTTGATCGGTTCGGAGATATTTAAAACTTGTTTAGAACCTTTTCCTTCAATGCAAACAACGTCAGCCTTCACATTAGTTGAAATCTCTTGAAATCCATTCAAAATTTCATTTTGAATATCCGTTA